AATTTTTTTTTTTTTTTGAATTATCAATTTTTTAAAATTTTTATCAACTTTTTAATTTATTTTCACGTGAACCAGAGGTTTTTGAGTGATTGATTATCTTAAAAAAAAGTGGGGTGAACAATTAGTTTGATTTAAGTATGTATGGTCGAATCTTGATCAAAAGAAAGTTTTATCAAGTGATATAGTAAAAAAGAATACAATATTAGATAAAAAAAATATGTATTTAAATTTTTTGGGTTAAAATATAAAATTTTAAGTTTATATTCAACAAAAAATTTATAATTTAAGGTCAATTTCATGTTGTTTTAATCAACAATAATATTTAATACAAAATGAACCTTAGATTAATTAATATTAAAATTCATTTAATCAATTTTTTGGACTACTAAATTATATCAATTTTTTGGATACTTAACTAATTTTTGTTTGATTTTATTAAATTTTTAATATTTTTGGATACTAAATTTAAAGAAGGGGCAATTGTGAAAATAATAAAGTTATTTGGGATGAAATCGTCACTTTTCATTAGCAATATTAATGAGTTTTAAATCTCAAGGGGTCTCTGTGTTATTTGTAAAATATCATGGGATGTTTATGTAATATTTCTAAAACTAAAGGGGTGTTCATATTTTTTACCTTTTTTTTTTTTTTTTTTATCAATTTTGATGGTCTTAAGTGAATAAACAAATACCCTAATGTATCGAAATTAGCGGTTGGCTTAATAGCTACCATCTCGTGGTTAGATTTGAAGATTATAAGTTTGATCCTCATCGTCCCTTCCTCTAAAAGTGTGTATAGCCAAACAAATAATAATAACCACCAAGTCATTGGTGAGTGGGTGGTCTCTTTGCTTAGGGAAAAGTGGTTTAGTATAACGCGGGAATAAAATTTATCTTAACTTATCGTAAAAGGCATGGGATAAATTGTGTGCACCGAAATTCAAAGACAAAAAAAGAAAAAGAAAAAGAAAAAGAAAAAGAAAAAGAAAAAGAATTAAAGTAATACTATTATTTATTTTCTGGAAGAAGTTGAGACTTGAAAAAGAAAGAAAACGATGGGCAACAAACAGGCCCACATTAAAATATCCCAAAAACAGGCACTAGTATCCCCCTAAACCCAACCCAGTCCACATTAAAAGGCAGTACTAGTATCTAAACCCAAGTACCCCACCGAGTCACCGCCCCTGTTTTTTACTTCCCTTCATTCCAAACGCCCATAGTCACCTTATTCCCTTCACCTTCACCACCTACCCTCCTATACAACTCTGGGCCCACCAACTCAAATCAAATCTATTACTAATTTTGTATCAGATGATAATATTGCGCGATTGTATCAAAACAAAGCTACTCATGACCACGATCAGCATCCATCCGACCGTCACAGTTCAGCTGTCACCACCTTCAATCCAACCCAACAGTCACATTATACTCTCAGATTTTTTCAAAATAAAAAATACCTCATCCTTATCCAGTCACGAGTGTACACGATCTCTCTCTCTCTGCTCTCTCCTCATCATTGAATTGTATCTATAAAGAAACTCAAACCAATCTTATCCAAACCAGATTCAAGNCGATCTCTCTCTCTCTGCTCTCTCCTCATCATTGAATTGTATCTATAAAGAAACTCAAACCAATCTTATCCAAACCAGATTCAAGTATAATCACCACAAAGTGCCTAACTGTAGTCGGAGACGATGATCGGAACAGTGCCTCTTCCTTCATCTTCTACTCTCTTTCTTGAACCAAACAACGATCTTCATTCTCAGAGATCATCATCATCAGTAGTTTCGCAGAGACTCGCTTCAACTATCTGTTGTTCTTCAAGAAGCAATGCTTATATACCCAAGCTCGAACCCTTTAGCAGAAGCAAACTCGATCGAATCGTCAAAGACCCTCCTCTGATCGAGAAATCCGAAAGCGAACTCGCAGGCACCTCTTCAGCTTACCACACACCTTTCTACGTTACTATGCATGTATACATACATATATGTGTGTGACTGTGTTGGCAAGACTTGTGGATTTTTGCGCTAATGAAGGATTTGATGTTTTTTGATTCGATGAAACTTTTCGAAATTGAAATTTTTAGCATGTGCTCCGATCCATGACTTTCGTGTATATATATATAATATCTCTGTGTGTGTGTGTGTGTGTGTATAATCAGGAATTTGATGTTTTTGATTTGATAAAATTTTCTATAAAGTTTAGATTTCTATAATTTGATCTTCTCCGTATTTTCTGTTATACGCTCGATTGATTTGAGAGTATAATTTGAGTATTGAGTTATTAATTTGTAGTTTTGGTGTATNATAAAGTTTAGATTTCTATAATTTGATCTTCTCCGTATTTTCTGTTATACGCTCGATTGATTTGAGAGTATAATTTGAGTATTGAGTTATTAATTTGTAGTTTTGGTGTATTGATAATGTTCAGATTACTGTTCAACGCTTGAAGGAGACGCTTCTTATAGCTGCTGGCAGGCGTATTTCGAACTCAAAGATCTTGAGGTGAGTTAATTTAATTTTTGCTACTATATGTCATCCAAATTACTCCACTTTCTTGCCATGTTTTCTTGGGAAAATTAGAGGGAAAATTTTCAAACATACTGAACCAAATGCGNACTCAAAGATCTTGAGGTGAGTTAATTTAATTTTTGCTACTATATGTCATCCAAATTCCTCCACTTTCTTGCCATGTTTTCTTGGGAAAATTAGAGGGAAAATTTTCAAACATACTGAACCAAATGCGTTACAAAATTCTTCAATAACCCAACCAACCAACTAAATCAAGTCTTGTGTGTCAATTATTATAATTATTTATTTGAACTCATCATGGTGGATCCGATAAAGGTTTAGACTAGTTATTAATATCTGTGTGATAGTCCATATAAAAACATATTTAGTAATTTAGAGGCCAAAATGATGCAATTGAAAAAAAAAAAAGTTTGGATCTTAGTTACTAACATTGGAAAAAGTTGCACCATTAATGAGTTGCAACTTTCTGGATTTTTGATGTTTTGGATCGATAATAGATTAATAAGATTGATTACCACCAAGGTGGTAGCCTAGTTGGTTTCAATAGAAGGTGAAAGTCCCGTCCTATTCTAGTGGTTATGGTTTCAAACTTGTTTGCGATAGTAGTCCTTGTGATTCAGATACGATTGGAAGGCTGAATGTTCAGCATGCCTTTGGTGGTGATGGGCTCGATTATTTTAAGTTAATGGTTATAGCTCAAATCAAACATTCTATATCCGGTGAAAACTTCAAAATAATGTCATGGTGTTCTTATGGGTGGTCGTCCCTAACCACCCTTTTAACCATACAAAAAAAATAATATAAGATCAATCTTAAAATGTTATCAGAATCCAAAATTCTTCGAAAAGTTATAACCTATCTTATAAGTAGTATTTTGCCAATGATACTGTAGACTTATTTTTTTGATTGGCATGATCTTCAGAAAGAAACTCCAAAACAAGAGATAGAAAGGGTGATTCTACAAGCGGGTGGGGTGAAATCTCTCATCGGCTGCTTGCACGGAATTTCAGCGATTCACAAAGCGAAGAAAGAATGCAACGGGCCTACAAAACCATTGGTTCCAGAGAAAATGGGCGAAAGACCTTGTCCAATCCCTGATGGATTGCCAAAGACAATGGAAGAGCTTGAAGAAGAAGAGAAGGCGAGAATGCCTGATTCACCCTTCACCAGATTGCTCAGAACCAAAGGTAAATCTCCTGCCTGGTACTCCACTGGCCCGGACCACGAAACAGACTGATATTGAAAGAATTTTCACCGAACTTTGTAGTACATGGTAGTGAGATTAGTTGAATGTTTTCTTTTTTGTGAAAATGGTGTTGAAATTGTGATATAGGATTTTGATTTAGTTGTGTTTCCTTTCGTAAAATTTTCAATGCTTTTGTCACATGCCAGAACCATCCGGATTTGGATTTGGATCTCTATTGTCCACTCCGAGTTATGTCTGGACCGTTTTAAAACGTGTTTGTTCATTAAAAGTTCAAAACTCGGATTTGTATCGTATAATATTGAGCTTTGCATTGTATAGTTTTATATTCATTTTGTGTTGGGAGTGGGCGTTTTTAAAACGCGGGTAATAATGGTTCAAGTATTGATATTGTTCTATGTTATGTACTTGACTCGTGGTTGATGCCTGAGTGAGTTATTGTCATTGACATGCAGCGTATCGCCTCATTCTGTTCCACGGCAACAACATTGTATTAGCATAAAGGTTAAGCAGTCACACATTATAGCCAATCCATTTTCCAATTGGACCTGCAATAAAGNTGAGTGAGTTATTGTCATTGACATGCAGCGTATCGCCTCATTCTGTTCCACGGCAACGACATTGTATTAGCATAAAGGTTAAGCAGTCACACATTATAGCCAATCCATTTTCCAATTGGACCTGCAATAAAACAAAAGGACAGAAAATCAATAGATTTCTTTGAAAAATAATGATATAGTTTTCACCAATGTGTCTACCTACTCACAACAATGTCGGGCAAAAATGGCATGTGACACTAAAGACTTCATGAGAAGTGAAAGAAGAGGATGAAGAACCACTTGAATACTTAGATGGGGGGGAATGAAGTTTTGGTGTTCTATGCCCAGATCATATAACTAAAAATCACTCTGTGAAATCTGATATGTTAAAGTCTCTACTGAAACTAATTGCGAATTNCTTAGATGGGGGGGAATGAAGTTTTGGTGTTCTATGCCCAGATCATATAACTAAAAATCACTCTGTGAAATCTGATATGTTAAAGTCTCTACTGAAACTAGTTGCGAATATTTTTTAAGGATAATTTGACATAAATTAAATAACCACCAGAATCCAAAGACAGTCTTCTCGGTGACAAGACGGACTGAGTCCTTCCCACAGCTACCAATTCGAGGATACTCCAGCACNAAAGTCTCTACTGAAACTAGTTGCGAATATTTTTTAAGGATAATTTGACATAAATTAAATAACCACCAGAATCCAAAGACAGTCTTCTCGGTGACAAGACGGACTGAGTCCTTCCCACAGCTACCAATTCGAGGATACTCAGGCACATGGGCATTCGGCGCATAATGGTCTCTGAGGGTGTGGTGTGCGTGGCTCTTAGGCATTTCAACAAACAATTCATGGGCATTATGATTGGGGTTTGGGGAGAGAAGGAAATGGTGTGTGTGGGTGTGGGTGTGGGTGTGGTGCGTGCGTGCGCAGTGTGAAGGAAGGAGTCTGCGTGTATTTGTGAAGCAAAGAGATGGACAGAGGGAGTGTATTGAGAGAAATACCTGGGAGATGGCTATCTGGTCGTGACGGTGGCGCTGTGTTGGTGACGGTGGCCTCTGAGTGAGGAGTAACAGAGAGCCTGTGAGTGAGGAGTGAAGGAAAGAGAAGAAAGAAAAGGCAGAGATGGGGGTGATAAGACAACAGCTGAAGGTAGGGGTGATAAGACAACAGAAATCCATGGAAGACTTGGTCATTGTCAATTTTTAGCTCTGTAAATCCTGTGGTGTATATAAGATTTCAGTAAAATTCGGGTGCTAAAATTGGATCCAGCCTCTCAATGCTACTTCCCTCAACATCCATATAACACACCCTTCATTCCTCCCATACATGCCTTCTATAAGCAGCCTTGGGCCTGTCCAAGGTGGTTTGGCATGGCAAACCCTCAAAATATGAAGGCCTTAGGCTGCTTTTTCCTCCTCCCTTTCCTGTTGTTCTCTTCCTTTTCATCTTCTTCCTTGGCTTTAACTGATGCCGAGGCGTCTTATATTGCTCGTCGCCAGCTCCTAACCCTTCCGGAGAACGGTGATCTTCCTGATGATTTTGAATATGAGGTCAATGTTGTTGTCACTTTTGCAAATCCAAGGCTGAAGAGAGCTTACATTGCTCTCCAGGCATGGAAAAAAGCAATCTACTCTGACCCTCTTGATATGACTAGCAATTGGGTTGGTGCCAATGTTTGTGCTTACACTGGTGTTTTCTGTGCTCCGGCACTTGATGACCCTGGATTGAGCGTTGTTGCTGGTATTGATCTTAACCATGGTGATATTGCTGGCTACCTTCCTGTTGAGCTAGGACTCTTGACGGATATAAGTCTTTTCCACATCAACTCTAATCGGTTTTGTGGGATTATCCCAAAGAGTATGTCGAAGTTACAACTTTTGCACGAGTTTGATGTTAGCAACAATCGCTTTGTTGGTTCATTCCCAGAGGTTGTTCTAGGATTACCAGCCCTCAAGTACCTTGATTTGAGGTTTAATGACTTTGAAGGGCCATTGCCTCCAGAATTATTCAATAAGGAGCTTGATGCCTTGTTCTTGAATGATAACCGATTCCATTCCCACATCCCAGAAAATCTAGGCAATTCGCCAGTTTCAGTCGTGGTGGTGGCCAATAACAAATTGAGTGGTTGCATTCCAAAGAGCATTGGTAATATGGCAAACACGTTGGAGGAGATCATTCTCGCAAACAATGAATTCTCCGGTTGCTTGCCAGAAGAGATTGGGTTGCTATCAAAGGTGGCAGTCTTTGACGTCAGTGGGAACAAGTTCATTGGGACTTTGCCAATTGGCTTAGGCCGAATGGAGAAGGTTGAGCGGTTTGACATTGCACACAACGCATTGAGAGGACAAGTTCCTGCTAGCATTTGCAGCTTGCCAAACTTGATGAATTTCACATTCTCTTACAACTATTTTAAGAGCGTGGATTCTATGTGCGTACCTATGGAGAGCCGAGCAATGGATGACGCAAACAATTGTTTGGCAGATAGGCCTAACCAAAAATCTCAGGAGATTTGTCGATCTGAGTTGAGCCGACCAGTTAATTGCAGTTCAGTAGGATGCAGACCATCAAAACCGGGCCAAGGCGGCCCCTATCGGGATCCAGTTGCTGAAACTCCCACACCACAACCCAAGCCTAATCTACCAAAACCAAAACACCAAGTTCCACCAAGTCCTAAAGAAACCCCATCTAATCCACAACATAAGCCTAAACCTGAGCCGGTTTCCCCTCCTCCTACACACAAACCAACACCAAAACCATCTCCATTGCCACCAGTGAATCCTTCTTCCCCTCCAGCACCAACAAAACCACAGCCTAAACCTTCACCAACGCCTAAATCGACTCGATCATCACCAGTTTCCCATCCTACCGCATCACCAAAACCATCTCCATTGTCACCGGTGAATCCTTCCTCCCCTCCATCACCAACAAAACCACAACCTAAACCTTCACCAACGCCTAAATCAACTCCAGTGTCACCGGTTTCCCATCCTACCGCATCACCAAAACCAGCACCAATCCCAAAACCCACCCCAAAATCAGTTCCATCAACACCAATGTCCCATCCCACTCCATTGCCAAAACCAGCACCAACCCCAAAATCAATTGCCCCTAAGATTTCTCATCCAGCCCCATCTGCAACAAGTCCCAAACCAAAGTCACCTCTGTCACCAATTGCCACCCCGTCAAGTCCTCCACACCCACCAAAGGATTTTGTTTCACATTCTACTCCAAAGCCACCAACCACAATTCCATCAAGCTCCCCATCAAAATCTTCACCTCGTTTGCCGCCACCAAAGAGCTCTATCCCAGTTCCCGTTTCAGAGACACCAAGACCTGCCCCAAAGTTGTCTTTTGTTCCAGCTCCAACACCAATTTCAACACCTGCACCAGTGAAACAAACTCCACCACCTACAAAGGCCACCCCGTCACCCACACCACCGGTTCAATCCCCACCACCTCCAAAGGAATCTAAGCCATCTTCAGTGCCCTCACCAAAACCATCTAAACCAACTCCAGCTCCAGTTTCAGCACCTGCACCAAATCCAATTCATAAGCCCGTGAAACCAACTCCGCCACCTATCAAGACCACCCCACCCTTACCACCGGTTCAATCCCCACCACCTCCAAAGCATTCCCACCCATCTCCAGTGCCCTCACCAAAACCTGTTAAGCCAACTCCAGCTCCAATTTCAACACCTGCACCAGCGTCCACGCCAGTGAAACCAACTCCATCACCTACCAAGTTTATCCCATCGCATCCATCTCTGGTTCCATCCCCACCATCTCCACCACCACAAGTTCATTCCCTTCCACCACCTATTAGCTCACCTCCACCACCAGTTTCCTCCCCACCACCTCCAGTTCATTCCCCACCACCACCACCAGTTCATTCCCCTCCACCACCGGTTCATTCCCCTCCAACACCTATTCGGTCGCCCCCACCGCCACCTGTCCACTCTCCACCACCACCGCCAGTCTACTCACCTCCACGACCGGTCCTTTCCCCACCGCCACCAAGTCCAGTTCCCTCACCACCACCACCTGTCTTCTCTCCACCACCACCGGCACCGGTTTTATCTCCCCCTCCTGTCCTTTCTCCCCCACCACAAACTTACGACAACGTGATCCTCCCACCGACGTTGGGCTTCCAATACTTATCCCCGCCACCACCAATGTTCCCAGGCTACTGAATAGTCGACAATTAACACTTTTTCCTTTCATTATCACCATTAGTAGTTAAAAAAAAAAACCATGTACAAACTCGCATTGTAAGCTGAGCTTCACATCAAGGAACATTATTTTTTGATGACCTGAATCCACATTGCTTGTTCTTATTGGTATTGATCATTTTTACAAAATGTATGTATAATGCTGCAGATCATGACAATATGCAACAAAAGTTTCTTATGAAATATTATACAATGATATAGTTGTAGAAAGCAGAGACTTAATAGCTTCAAATCTTTTGATTCTAAGCTTTGTCCCCTTGTTAATGCTGTATGGATTTGAATTTTGCCCTGGTGCAAAAGGAAGTTGGACCATTATTTTTTGTCAAATATATAAATGCTTCTAATAATCATGTGCAATGTTATATTTTTATAGAAAAGTTTGTTCCGAGTTGCCCTAAAACTATAGACCTAAATGGTGTTACTGTTAAGATCGATAATTGTTTTCCATTAGTAGGTCTCTCTAGACACCATTTAGTTGTTAAGGTTCTAATAAATACTCAAAATTCACAGGAAATGAACTTTTGCATACCAACAAATAAGTTTTATGATAAAATCGCATACTGTCACGCACTCGGGTAAATCTCACTTTTTTTTGTAACAGCTTTTGATACAATACTGAATTTATATCATAATCGTTCCCCGATTTGATAATCTGGCATCTGAAACCATATTTCAAATGCTGATAAATTAAGATAGTTATGCCAAGTAATTGGGCAGAGGGAGAAGCATTCTAGGAACTATACAATATGTCAAATTCGCTTTACAAATTGTATATACTTGAAGATGATAAAATTAATTTCATTGTATAATAGAGTTAGTCCAAGCATATTTTTGTAAGCATAGCTTTTAGTCTCTTGTAATCCCAACATTTACAGCGTTTGTATGATCCAATCCTTCCCCCCTCGATGAACAGAGATCAGACTGAATATCGACCTTTTAGAAGAAAATAGAACTTCACTCCAATCCTTGAATCATCTCCACCACTCTATCCATCGAAGGCCTTTTCTTTGGATTATTTGAAAGACAAAGCCCTGCAATGTTAATCATATCAGCCACATTTTCCTTCACATCTACCATTCTCTTATCAGACACACCTTTCAATCCTTCCCTTTTAAGTTTCTCTTTCACATACTCTCCTAAGTTAGTCACAGAAGGCTTTTTCCCTGTAATAAGCTCTAACAAAAGGATTCCAAAGCTATAAACATCGGACTTATGTGTGAAGAGTCTCGGGTTGCTTTGGGGCAGTGCTAATTCTGGTGCTATGCGGCCAGGATTTCTTCTGATGATTGTCGATGGGGATACCAAATAAGGCGTTTCGTAGCTGGAAAGACATGCATAAAAGTCAATCTTGATCAGAACATTGGAGGCCTTGATCACCCCACAAATGAGACCTTTACCGGTTTTTGTCACTCTGATATGAATTGCAGCCACTGCCTTGGCTGCACTGAGAGCTATTTGGAGACGAATTTTCCAGTTTAAAGGAGTGAATTGGACTCCTTCACTTCCTGCATTAATTGTAAGAAGAGAAAGTTAAGCTTGTATCATCCTTGACTATGCATTTGATGCAATTTCAAGGAATGATAAATATAGGTGAAAATCCAGTTCAGATTTGACAAAAATAGGATCAAATTTGCCTTTTTTGAATCTTCTGGTGGCCTTTTAAAGCAGACATTTGCTGTTTCTTTTAAAAATAACTTATGAATAATACTTTGAAGCTTGTAAAAAGGGCAGATATTAGTGGAATCAGGACGAGAAGTAGCGCTTCCACACTCGGAGTTTGTGAAAATGATGCTTTTTTGGGTAATATGGATAGAAAGAAATCGTATAATTTTCGAAGATAAAAATGAGGTTGAGAAGTTTCTATGAGATAAAGTTCTTGGCCTTTGTATGTACAACTACTTCTGAAGAGTTCCAGAACCTTTTTTACTCAATTCATCGATGTTGGATTGCAACATGTAGCTAAGAAAGTCTCTCTATTTTCTTTGATTATTTCTTTATTTTTTCTTGTTTATTGTAATATTTGGTTGATTTCTATTCCACTTCCTTTTATTTTGTAACTATTTTCGATGAAAATTTCTATTTCTTATCGGAAAAAAAATGGTCATGCCTTAAAGCTACTACTGAATACCCCAAAAAACAGAACCATAAATCATTAGGTGTTGAGATTTAGAAGATGAAAAAAAAAAAACAAAAGGAAGAAAGCTATAAGAATTTGTTCTCACCATGTAATAGCTCCTCAAGGCTCCCTAAGCACAAATACTCATGTATAACAAAAGCTTCCCCACCATACCATAAACTGAACTGCATTGGCAAGAGCCATTCATCACTTAATCCGCCAAAGAACTTGATCCAAAACTCGAGATCAGCAGTACTAACCAAACCATCTCGGATCTTTCTCATTGTAATGATAGAGCCACAGTTAAGAACAACTTTATACAAGGTACCTAAGGTTCCTTCACCAAGCCTAATCTTGGACAGTTGAGCCAGTTCTGCTGCATCATACTTCTGTGCAATGGCTGCATCGCCAAATATAATCTTCGTAGGGAGTGACAGCTTGACCTCGAGCAATGACATTGGAGTTGTGTTGGTTACTTTGCCCTCGCTCGATTTTGCCCTCATTGTAGCAACTCTGGTGAGTATCAATCTAATTGTTCTGTAGATGCTCAAGAGAATAAGCATAAGACAGAAAAACAATATTAGCCAAGTTCCAACTGGATCATCCATGTCTGTCCTAGATGGGCTTAGAGAAGCCTAAGTGCTGGTCTATGTTGAGCAATCTTGACAGGCTCAACAAAAGAGGGTTATAGTTTGAAGGATGTTAGTTTGTATATTCCTAGGTGTTTTCACTTGAAACCTAGGAATATACATCCAAGTTGTTGCCAGAACTTGCTCGCGTGAACAGAATGTTCTTGTTCTTTTCACATTTTTTTTGAATAAATAAGATGAATCTGAGAGGATTAGTGAATGGAAGTTATATTTTTTTATACAAGATTGCATACTGTGCTGGTTGGTTCTGATGTGTTTTAATTTTTCCTTTTAGCAAGGATTGAGAAAAATTTATAAACAACAAACGTGTTCGAAGAACATAGTTATATGTATTGACAGATTAACATAAGATATTCAGAGAAAAATTATTTTATACTTAGAATAAAGCAATTATATTATTCTTCTCTAAGAAGGGTGAATTTCACTTTCTACCCTAAAAAATTTAAGAATTCTTGGTTTGTATCTTTAAAGATTAGATTTTTCTTATTGTACTTTGAATGTATTAAAAATGTTGCAATTTAGTCCTTCCGTTACTCATTCTGTCAATGCCCATGTCGTGGTTTTTGACAGAATAAGAAATAGAAGTTAGCAAAATGATCACATTGTAATATTTTTAATATATTTAGGGTATAAAATAAAAAATTTAATCTTTGAAGGTATAAAATATAATTTTCCCTTCTAAGAATTAATAATTATTTTGTTTGATAAAACTTTTCTAAGCAAATGCTTGANTACAACTACTTCTGAAGAGTTCCAGAACCTTTTTTACTCAATTCATCGATGTTGGATTGCAACATGTAGCTAAGAAAGTCTCTCTATTTTCTTTGATTATTTCTTTATTTTTTCTTGTTTATTGTAATACTTGGTTGATTTCTATTCCACTTCCTTTTATTTTGTAACTATTTTCGATGAAAATTTCTATTTCTTATCGGAAAAAAAATGGTCATGCCTTAAAGCTACTACTGAATACCCCAAAAAACAGAACCATAAATCATTAGGTGTTGAGATTTAGAAGATGAAAAAAAAAAAACAAAAGGAAGAAAGCTATAAGAATTTGTTCTCACCATGTAATAGCTCCTCAAGGCTCCCTAAGCACAAATACTCATGTATAACAAAAGCTTCCCCACCATACCATAAACTGAACTGCATTGGCAAGAGCCATTCATCACTTAATCCGCCAAAGAACTTGATCCAAAACTCGAGATCAGCAGTACTAACCAAACCATCTCGGATCTTTCTCATTGTAATGATAGAGCCACAGTTAAGAACAACTTTATACAAGGTACCTAAGGTTCCTTCACCAAGCCTAATCTTGGACAGTTGAGCCAGTTCTGCTGCATCATACTTCTGTGCAATGGCTGCATCGCCAAATATAATCTTCGTAGGGAGTGACAGCTTGACCTCGAGCAATGACATTGGAGTTGTGTTGGTTACTTTGCCCTCGCTCGATTTTGCCCTCATTGTAGCAACTCTGGTGAGTATCAATCTAATTGTTCTGTAGATGCTCAAGAGAATAAGCATAAGACAGAAAAACAATATTAGCCAAGTACCAACTGGATCATCCATGTCTGTCCTAGATGGGCTTAGAGAAGCCTAAGTGCTCGTCTATGTTGAGCAATCTTGACAGGCTCAACAAAAGAGGGTTATAGTTTGAAGGATGTTAGTTTGTATATTCCTAGGTGTTTTCACTAGAAACCTAGGAATATACATCCAAGTTGTTGCCAGAACTTGCTCGCGTGAACAGAATGTTCTTGTTCTTTTCACATTTTTTTTGAATAAATAAGATGAATCTGAGAGGATTAGTGAATGGAAGTGATATTTTTTTATACAAGATTGCATACTGTGCTCGTTGGTTCTGATGTGTTTTAATTTTTCCTTTTAGCAAGGATTGAGGAAAACTTATAAACAACAAACGTGTTCGAAGAACATAGTTATATGTATTGACAGATTAACATAAGATATTCAGAGAAAAACTATTTTATACTTAGAATAAAGCAATTATATTATTCTTCTCTAAGAAGGGTGAATTTCACTTTCTACCCTAAAAAATTTAAGAATTCTTGGTTTGTATCTTTAAAGATTAGATTTTTCTTATTGTACTTTGAATGTATTAAAAATGTTGCAATTTAGTCCTTCCGTTACTCATTCTGTCAATGCCCATGTCGTGGTTTTTGACAGAATAAGAAATAGAAGTTAGCAAAATGATCACATTGTAATATTTTTAATATATTTAGGGTATAAAATAAAAAATTTAATCTTTGAAGGTATAAAATATAATTTTCCCTTCTAAGAATTAATAATTATTTTGTTTGATAAAACTTTTCTAAGCAAATGCTTGAAATAGATTAGATTGAATTAATCTCCGATTGATCAAACGGTGGAAACATATAAAAGAAATTAATTGATACAAAATTAATAATTAATAAATTAAATTAGGATAATTTAAAAGTTTAATGACCAAATTGACTAATTGTGTTATTTATTGAAAGGAAAAATACTAAGGTTAGATTTGGGTCCATCCAAATGGGCCCTAATTGCAAAAGACGAAGATAAAGACAAAGAAAATGCTACACGACGTCGTTTTAAGAACCTTTTGCCTTGTACCCGGCCTTGAAGCATAACAAATGAAATGGTTTTTCTCTTTCATCCCGATTTCAAGTGAAAGAAGCGAAGCTTAAAGCAGATCAACTGTCACATATCAACACACCAAACTGCGAGAGAAGAGAAGAAAACCCTCCAAAAAGTTGAAAAAATTCTGNTTTCAAGTGAAAGAAGCGAAGCTTAAAGCAGATCAACTGTCACATATCAACACACCAGACTGCGAGAGAAGAGAAGAAAACCCTCCAAAAAGTTGAAAAAATTCTACAATTATTTGAAGTTTCTGAGTACCCAATTACATAGCTAAGAGAATTGGGAAGTTGAAATTGTGTTTCGGGTAATGGCGGAGAACACGAAGAAGTCGCCGGAGGAAGAGATAAGGCCGGAGGAAGAAACAGTGAGCGAAACAGCATCACAACCACCGCCATCTCCGACAACAGCAAAACAAGGCGGTGGATGGGGCGGTTGGGGTTTCTCTCCATTGTCTTATCTCTCAGATCTTCAAAAGGCTGCTACTACTGCGGCCGAGGAGATCTCTCGCAATGTATATCTCTCCTTTCTCTCATTATTATCTTGATATTCATTCTTGGAAGTTTCTTTAAATTGCATGTTGTTTTTTGTTTCTTTTATTTTGTTCTATGTTTGTTTGATTGCTGAGAAAATGTAGAGGAATAATGTGGGCTAAAATGCTGGTTGTCGGATTAGGGCACGAGAATTGAAATAAAAATGACTGGATTGAGTTCAGTGTGAGTTTTGGGTTTAGTTTGTATTGAACATGTCTTGATTAGGTATTGTTAGATCTACAATCTGGTTTATGGTTAATGAGCATTAGATTGCTAATTAAAGAGTGACTTAATCTTATACGTATAATCTTGCTGGAAATTGAATGCAAATATATCGAGTTGTAGTTGTTAATGTTATTAATGTGGGTTTTCAGGTGCTCTCTATTAGCATCATTCTCTTGTTGGGGAAATCCTAGTAATAAATGTAACTACCAATCAGTACACAATGTTAGACTGCACATTGTGATTTTCATTTCGTCCTTGTGCTATGCACTGCATTGCATGTTCACGATAGCATCTTTGTTCTACTAAAGTGTAGATGATCTGCATTTTTTTTCTGGTAACTTTGAGTTCATTAGCTGATGTTCTCACTTACTGGTAAGTTCGCATAGTGGAAATTTACTAATTGAACATTCACTGCATGAACTTTAATTCTAAAATAAATATCTTGTTTGCTGTAAATTTGAGCTTAATGAAACTATTGACATTTTCACTTTTAGGCTTTGCATGCAGTTCACTTTTTATGTGTGCATCTCTGTTGATTTACTAGAAATTCAGTTTGGTAAGAACTCAAGATGGTATGACCTGTTCCTTTAGGGTGGGGGTTGAGTTGGTAGATGAAGGCCCCCCCCCCAAGAGCAATTTTAAACATTGGTAGTGTTTTCCCCTACCAGAGATTTTGGAAGGATGTTGTTGGGAGAGGGGACATGAATATTGAAGTACATAGTGGTTATCACTTACTCTGGAGTCTATCCATAACAAATGCTATTGCATTACCCGTCAGCTTTTTCGTTATATGTTTCATGTGATGCTAAGGGAGCCTGGATGCACTTATGCCTCTAAATTTCTTTCTATGCTTCATGTTTTGACACTCATCACCATCTATGCAGTGTCCTAGTTAGAATTCTTTGCTGTTTTCCTGAGTTGTGTTCTTGTGGATGCAGGCTGTCGAGGTTGCTAAGACAGCAGCAAAGAACATTGCTGACATGCAAAACATTGATGAAGACCCAGAATCTTCCAAGGAGGATGCTACAGAAGCATCTGCAGTTGAAGAAGTAAGTGATGACGAGAATGATAAGCGGCGCAAGGATGCTTTGGATAAACTGGAGAAAGCTAGTGAGGATTCATTACTCGGTCAGGCAAGTTAACTTCAATTACGTTGTTTGTATGTCTGATACTTGGGGATGCAGTTTGGTGTTGCAATTCAGCTTATTTGGTCCTCAAAAGGTGATTTAGCTGGTATAATTGGGTTCTTAGGTACACTTGTGAAGCATGAATATGTAAAAGCCCCTCCCTCTCTTGCTCTCTCAGATGAAAATCTCATCTGAAGGCATTAATGTGGCCTTTGAATTTCTGCNTTTAGCTGGTATAATTGGGTTCTTAGGTACACTTGTGAAGCATGAATATGTAAAAGCTCCTCCCTCTCTTGCTCTCTCAGATGAAAATCTCATCTGAAGGCATTAATGTGGCCTTTGAATTTCTGCTTTTTTTTCTTCTTCTTTTTAATGCTCTTTTTAAGGATAGCAATTGCATCACTTAGTAACTTTTGTCGGATCTTATTCATAATGNCGTGGAGAATGAAGCTCACATGGAAGTAATATTTATGCATGTTTTACTACCTTTGCAGTGTAAGTGTAACATAGTAATAGGTGAAGAGGGTAACATGGGGAAGGTGTTCATAGGAAAGCGATCTGTTCTTAATTGGATGCTACTCTTGGTTATGTGTCTGACAATGTTCATGCTGTGTTGGACAAGANTGAAGTATTTTATATCCAGACTTAATAGTTGATCTTCTTCTTTTCATCAAGTTTGACGGTGCTTCTAATCTTTCAATATGTGCAGGGTATAAAGGTGCTTGACAATTCTGTGGAGTNTTCTGCTTTTTTTCTTCTTCTTTTTAATGCTCTTTTTAAGGATAGCAATTGCATCACTTAGTAACTTTTGTCGGATCTTATTCATAATGAAGTATTTTATATCCAGACTTAATAGTTGATCTTCTTCTTTTCATCAAGTTTGACAGTGCTTCTAATCTTTCAATATGTGCAGGGTATAAAGGTGCTTGATAATTCTGTGGAGANTTTTATATCCAGACTTAATAGTTGATCTTCTTCTTTTCATCAAGTTTGACGGTGCTTCTAATCTTTCAATATGTGCAGGGTATAAAGGTGCTTGACAATTCTGTGGAGTATTTTGCCTCAGGAGCTTGGCAGGCCTTTGGAAATGCATGGAAAGGGGGCTCTGATTTAGTTCACAAGTATGTCTGTTAGTGGCTCAAATTTTGAATCTAGTTTGTAGATCATTGCTTATGCACACACGAAAAAACACTAGTCGCTACTTAGCTAGTTGAAGAGAGTGTGTCGCGGTGTTATGGATTATACCTGACTCAGTGATACTATTATGGGTTCTATTGCTATTTGGCTACTGTTTCAATATTCCTGTCACAGCGACCTCCTTTTTTTCANTCACAAGTATGTCTGTTAGTGGCTCAAATTTTGAATCTAGTTTGTAGATCATTGCTTATGCACACACGAAAAAACACTAGTCGCTACTTAGCTAGTTGAAGAGAGTGTGTCGCGGTGTTATGGATTATACCTGACTCAGTGATACTATTATAGGTTCTATTGCTATTTGGCTACTGTTTCACTATTCCTGTCACAGCGACCTCCTTTTTTTCGGGTGGCGGGGTTGCTGGGGGTTTAGAAACTTACCCCTAAAAAAATAGTAGAGAACTTTTAATTTGCTTTTATAGACAATTAACAAATACTTCATATTCTAAAGAATGCACCATAGAAAATCATAGCACTGAGCATCTAGGACTCTTTTGACAGAATATAGTAATTGAACTTGTGATCACCTTTAAGTTGTTGAGGACCTACAGTAGAAAAATGATAGCTTTATGTACCTAGTTATCTTTTCTAAGATGCACACCAGATCCATTTAGCCACAGTTTACAGCAGCAAATTATGACACCCGAGAGGTGAGATGAAGAATGATTCCGACCCTGTAATGCAAGAGGAATATACAGATGTACCACTTCCTGCCATCTTTTTAGGTGACATAAATGTACCTATCACTTCCTGCCATCTTGTCAAGTGAAATAAGTCTAACACACAATTATGCAATCTTAGCCCCAGGTGTATGATGACATGTTAACTTGGTAGAGCTTTAGACTGCGTGACATTGAAGTAACCTGAAGTTCATTGTTTAGCTGTCTGGAGTGACTTTGGCTTCACAAGTGATTCTTTGTTGTTTAGGTCCTTTAGGATCCTTTCCCATTAAGTGGAGCTTGCTTTTGTGTTGTATTTGATCCAGGTTTCTGAATTACTTCAAGGTGGTTCCCATCAGACATGTTGATTAACCATTTGTTATTTGAATCCGATGGCCCAATCTAGTTGGTAGCTCTCTTTGGCCACTTTTGATTTTGGACTTTGGTTTGCATTAGAATGAGTGACTGTATGTGTCTAGGTTTCAGCTTTATCTAGTTTACAAATCCTTGGTCACAGGGACATGGCTAAGCTGTCATGAGATTTATTCATCACTACATTCGTGGAGAATGAAGCTCACATGGAAGTAATATTTATGCATGTTTTACTACCTTTGCAGTGTAAGTGTAACATAGTAATAGGTGAAGAGGGTAACATGGGGAAGGTGTTCATAGGAAAGGGATCTGTTCTTAATTGGATGCTACTCTTGGTTATGTGTCTGACGATGGTCATGCTGTGTTGGACAAGGTTAATGTTTAGTTTGGCCATTGCAGTTTGTCACCTTCTTGGCCATAATCATGCCACCTTGGTGGTCATCCAATGTCTGTAATCCACATCTTGACAACATTATTCTTGATTGATATTTCCAGGATGTTGTTGTTAGTTTGATGAGTTTGAACTGCATCTATACATGCCAAATAAATTGTTGATCTATTGTTAACTTGACCTTGATAAGTTTGCAAGGTTCAGTAAACCATTTATTCTATTCTAATTCTCTCTTCACTATTGCATTTGTATTGTGTTCTGTGGTATTGCATAAGTGCTTATTTTAACTGTTTAGATTATTCTCTGATGGATTAATAATGACCGAATAGATTTCTGTTTTTCAGATTTTAGATTATTGTAGGATCACAACCAATTCTCTCTTTGCCTATGATAGTCATTTTTGATAGCATGATTTTTGGTCTATATTTTTAGGCTTGAGAATTCTGCTGCAAATCTTGCTGAAACTATTCAGCACGGTGCTCTACCTGGGGCTGCTGGTTCTGTTGCACCATCTTTAATAGAGGTTTGAAATGCACTCCTTATAATGTTTTAAATTTGTCATAATTGCTTATCCTAGTCTTCGTTTTACAGTCTGGAAAAGCTCTTACTGCAAAGGGAATGCAAGTGCTTGAGCTTGTTGGTAAGGAAACCATGGATCTTTTGATCTCAGAAACTGGAATGGAAGTTGATAAAGATACCAAAGAAGCTGAAGAGCAAGTAGATGAAGATCAGCTGTTTGAGGAGGTCTCATTTGATCGGTGCTTCTACATATATGGTGGTCCTGAGCAGTTAGAGGTCAGTTCTCTTTCCCGTTGAATAATATTTCAATATGCAATTGCCAGTTTGAGTGGTTGCTCATGGCTTTTGAATACTGACAACTATCAGGAACTGGAGGCATTGTCCAACCATTATGCATTGCTATTCAATCGAAGGAAATTGAAGTTGTCGTCTGAGCAAAAGTCTGTCTATGATGGAAAGCTTAAGCAGGTCCAACAAATGTTCAATTTAAGTTCTGAAACCGATGGAAATGCTATAGAGTCAGAAAAAGGGAAGAAAGTTGAGAACAGTACTGAGGGCAATATTGATGAGATGAAGAATTTGCACGATTCTAGTGTTAGCAAGGCTGCTGAATTGGCTGCAGGGTAATCTAGCCTTATACAATCTTCTCCTTCCCGCTCTCCCTTCATTTTGGAACCCTACTCTGCTTATATACTGAGTTGGCGCNCGGGTGGCGGGGTTGCTGGGGGTTTAGAAACTTACCCCTAAAAAAATAGTAGAGAACTTTTAATTTGCTTTTATAGACAATTAACAAATACTTCATATTCTAAAGAATGCACCATAGAAAATCATAGCACTGAGCATCTAGGACTCTTTTGACAGAATATAGTAATTGAACTTGTGATCACCTTTAAGTTGTTGAGGACCTACAGTAGAAAAATGATAGCTTTATGTACCTAGTTATCTTTTCTAAGATGCACACCAGATCCATTTAGCCACAGTTTACAGCAGCAAATTATGACACCAGAGAGGTGAGATGAAGAATGATTCCGACCCTGTAATGCAAGAGGAATATACAGATGTACCACTTCCTGCCATCTTTTTAGGTGACATAAATGTACCTATCACTTCCTGCCATCTTGTCAAGTGAAATAAGTCTAACACACAATTATGCAATCTTAGCCCCAGGTGTATGATGACATGTTAACTTGGTAGAGCTTTAGACTGCGTGACATTGAAGTAACCTGAAGTTCATTGTTTAGCTGTCTGGAGTGACTTTGGCTTCACAAGTGATTCTTTGTTGTTTAGGTCCTTTAGGATCCTTTCCCATTAAGTGGAGCTTGCTTTTGTGTTGTATTTGATCCAGGTTTCTGAATTACTTCAAGGTGGTTCCCATCAGACATGTTGATTAACCATTTGTTATTTGAATCCGATGGCCCAATCTAGTTGGTAGCTCTCTTTGGCCACTTTTGATTTTGGACTTTGGTTTGCATTAGAATGAGTGACTGTATGTGTCTAGGTTTCAGCTTTATCTAGTTTACAAATCCTTGGTCACAGGGACATGGCTAAGCTGTCATGAGATTTATTCATCACTACATTCGTGGAGAATGAAGCTCACATGGAAGTAATATTTATGCATGTTTTACTACCTTTGCAGTGTAAGTGTAACATAGTAATAGGTGAAGAGGGTAACATGGGGAAGGTGTTCATAGGAAAGGGATCTGTTCTTAATTGGATGCTACTCTTGGTTATGTGTCTGACAATGTTCATGCTGTGTTGGACAAGATTAATGTTTAGTTTGGCCATTGCAGTTTGTCACCTTCTTGGCCATAATCATGCCACCTTGGTGGTCATCCAATGTCTGTAATCCACATCTTGACAACATTATTCTTGATTGATATTTCCAGGATGTTGTTGTTAGTTTGATGAGTTTGAACTGCATCTGTACATGCCAAATAAATTGTTGATCTATTGTTAACTTGACCTTGATAAGTTTGCAAGGTTCAGTAAACCATTTATTCTATTCTAATTCTCTCTTCACTATTGCACTTGTATTGTGTTCTGTGGTATTGCATAAGTGCTTATTTTAACTGTTTAGATTATTCTCTGATGGATTAATAATGACCGAATAGATTTCTGTTTTTCAGATTTTTAGATTATTGTAGGATCACAACCAATTCTCTCTTTGCCTATGATAGTCATTTTTGATAGCATGATTTTTGGTCTATATTTTTAGGCTTGAGAATTCTGCTGCAAATCTTGCTGAAACTATTCAGCACGGTGCTCTACCTGGGGCTGCTGGTTCTGTTGCACCATCTTTAATAGAGGTTTGAAATGCACTCCTTATAATGTTTTAAATTTGTCATAATTGCTTATCCTAGTCTTCGTTTTACAGTCTGGAAAAGCTCTTACTGCAAAGGGAATGCAAGTGCTTGAGCTTGTTGGTAAGGAAACCATGGATCTTTTGATCTCAGAAACTGGAATGGAAGTTGATAAAGATACCAAAGAAGCTGAAGAGCAAGTAGATGAAGATCAGCTGTTTGAGGAGGTCTCATTTGATCGGTGCTTCTACATATATGGTGGTCCTGAGCAGTTAGAGGTCAGTTCTCTTTCCCGTTGAATAATATTTCAATATGCAATTGCCAGTTTGAGTGGTTGCTCATGGCTTTTGAATACTGACAACTATCAGGAACTGGAGGCATTGTCCAACCATTATGCATTGCTATTCAATCGAAGGAAATTGAAGTTGTCGTCTGAGCAAAAGTCTGTCTATGATGGAAAGCTTAAGCAGGTCCAACAAATGTTCAATTTAAGTTCTGAAACCGATGGAAATGCTATAGAGTCAGAAAAAGGGAAGAAAGTTGAGAACAGTACTGAGGGCAATATTGATGAGATGAAGAATTTGCACGATTCTAGTGTTAGCAAGGCTGCTGAATTGGCTGCAGGGTAATCTAGCCTTATACAATCTTCTCCTTCCCGCTCTCCCTTCATTTTGGAACCCTACTCTGCTTATATACTGAGTTGGCGCAACACGTGCTTGCCAACATGATGGGGACAATGTTTGGGGTGGGCAGTAATTTTGTTATTTCTATCCCATTGCATTTGGTATTCATCATATCCCATCAGGCCNGCAACACGTGCTTGCCAACATGATGGGGACAATGTTTGGGGTGGGCAGTAATTTTGTGATTTNAACCCTACTCTGCTTATATACTGAGTTGGCGCAACACGTGCTTGCCAACATGATGGGGACAATGTTTGGGGTGGGCAGTAATTTTGTTATTTCTATCCCATTGCATTTGGTATTCATCATATCCCATCAGGCCTTTTTTTTTTTTCAGTTCCAAAAGGATCTACGAGTGAAACTTTATACCTGGACAAACCAATATTGTAAACACTGTATCTGGTAGTCCGGCTAGTAAGGAAAATTCAACTCAACAAGTGGCTCGATTCTTTCAATCTGGTTTCTGTTGTGAGTTTTTGTTAATATCTGAACTGACTTACATTAAAGACAACTCACAACACCAAATTTGAAAATAATCACGATCATATGGAAAATACTATGGATCCCAAATTTGGGATCCCAAATGAATAGGTCCCGTTGAAAAGAGTTCACGGGACCCACAGATCCACGGGTCCAGAGTGATTAGGCATTCTATTTGGAATCCCTAGCATTGTTCCGNACATTAAAGACAACTCACAACACCAAATTTGAAAATAATCACGATCATATGGAAAATACTATGGATCCCAAATGAATAGGTCCCGTTGAAAAGAGTTCACGGGACCCACAGATCCACGGGTCCAGAGTGATTAGGCATTCTATTTGGGATCCCTAGCATTGCTCCAATCATATTTGTCCTGTTCTGTCTGTTGGGCTTCCCAGGCAGCTCTTATTGTCTTTGGCAGTGTATTGCATGCCTAAACTTAGTTGCTGAAAATTTTATATATGGGTTCCACATTAGTCGGTGCCATTTTGTACCCTTCAAATGTTATTGTATTTTTTACCCTTCAAATTGTTATTATATTTTGTTTCAGTCTTGAAATTCCGAAATTATGCAAGCACAGGTAGATACTTAGAATACGTAACACGTNTATATGGGTTCCACATTAGTCGGTGCCATTTTGTACCCTTCAAATGTTATTGTATTTTTTACCCTTCAAATTGTTATTATATTTTATTTCAGTCTTGAAATTCCGAAATTATGCAAGCACATGTAGATACTTAGAATACGTAACACGTTGTGTGTATAACATTATTTTTATGTGCAATGGGGCTCAAGCAATATAAGTGGACATTCGTGTATTACTTCTACATGGAAATCCCTTGCTTTAATTCTTAGCCATAGTAAGATAAGTTATAATTTTGACTTAGTTCTGATTACCAAAATCTAATAGTATTTACTTTCAGGAGAGTTACTCGTTTCACATCTCTTATTTTGAGTTCTTAATATGGCTGAAACGGCATAGGATGATTGAGGGTCTGATGTGGTTTTTGGAAATTTGGTCAAAGGTTTAGGAGTGGGATTGATGAAGTCAAAGCTTGTCCCACATTGGAAATGTTAAAGCCTCCCAAATTAGTATGAGAGTTTTTGGGCCTCTTCATTTGGATGCATCAACAACCATGAATTGTTGACTGCATTTTTCTTCTTGTTCTGTCTCATATCTTCCAAGTTCCCACATATCTTGGACACTTTTTGCCAAAATCCTGGAATTTGCAATAAGGATCACTTGCTAAACACTTTCCTTATATGTTTTGCAGCTTTGCAAATGCGTTAGCAGGACTTGCTCCAAATGATGTGATTCAAAGAACTGCTGGCAGACTAGATTCTATTCACTCAGAGGGTGTTCATGTACGCAGATTTTTGGGTTTTATCTGGGACTTTTTCTGGAATTATTGGATAACCAACAATGGAACTGTAACAGACGTAACTGACATGAAATCAAAATGGATGTGTGCAGAGACTTTCAGAAATGTGTTGTTTTGCGGTATCTCAACTTTTGATGCTTGGGAAATCCATCATATCTAATGCAAACAAAGTTGAGGACCAAGATATGTTGAATATTGACTGGCCGGGGGATTCGGTAGAAAAGGCTAAGATAATCCGTACCAAGGCACAGTCAATGACTGGAAATGTCGAAGCAGTTTCCAACAGTTTTATTACAGGTCAGTTATTTCAGTTCTCCTTCTTTGTTATGTCATTGGAATTGTTGCGTTTTGCTGATTTGAAACTTTTTAACCTCGCTTGAAATGTTATTACCCAACTATGATTTACTGTTTCACTTAACTGTTATTTTAGAAGATCAATTATGGATGTCTTCATGCCTACTATTTTGGGGAATTGCTGGGCCCTTGGTCATGATTAATAAAAAACATGCGCTGGGTATAATATCAATCTGGTAATTGCCATGAGTTGAAGGAATTGCAAGTGATCAAATATCATTCAGAGAATGGCTGAATCATGATTGTGGTTATTCAAATATAAAATGTTGACCTAGGATCTGGTTTTTTAACTGAAGGTATGATGGTTTAGGTATCTGAGACATTCTTGTTGCGACTCTGTATTGTACCTTAGAAGGTGTGAATCTGGTGTTTTTCTAGATAACTAACCTGATGTTACAGATCATATCAGGTGTCCAAAGTATTTGTGACCTTTGAACTTTCCTCTCCATATTGCTCGTGTAGCTGACAAACTCCTCCTTCATTGCAATCTGGGTTCTGGCATTTTTACTTTTGGCTGTAGATATGATTGGTCTAACAAGAAGGTGCTGTTGAACAACATGAGCAGAGGTTTATATAACTAAGAAAGATAGTCTTAATCTTAATCTCAATTTATTGCTCAGGCATATCAGATGTAGCGGAAGTGTATGTGGCAGCCATTAAAGGCGCTATTGCCGATGCAGATAAAGCTCTTCCACAGAAATCAATTCAGGAAAAGGCCAATGCTTTCTCTGAGAATCTTCGTGTTGATCGTACCACAGCCATGGGTAAAATTCAGGATGGACTCCAATACCTGTCTTACGTCGTTCTTTCAACCTCAATGCCTGCTGCTTGAGAAATTGAAAATTCTGGATGCAAGCATATATAGATTCATTGTGTTTTCACTTCTATTTTTGTAAATAGTTGGATTTTTAAATGGGTGCCATGAAACTCAATTGTTTTATCGACGAGTTTGCACTCTTCCAATAAATGGAAGAAACATTCTCCTCTACAACTTGGTGTCATTGTTGGACAAACATCAATTCCCAGATGTTGAGCAATCTATTTTTCCAGTGTTTTTCAGAAGGGAAGAAGATAGAATTGGCATTGGATTGAGAAAATGAACCTTTGTTCTTATCATTCTATGGATTTACTTGACTCTCTCTTTATTCCGGCCTAATTGTTTGTTTTGCGAAACTAAGAATGCTTGAGGCGTGTTTGGAAGTTTGAACTTAATCAGAAAGTTTGAACTTGAAAAATTAAGAAGGGTTCATCTTGAATGTTGAAAAAAATGAAAAACATTAAAAATCAATACTAAAAAATAAGTTTTAAAGTACCATGTTCTCCCAAGTTACCTACAGGGGTGGCTTAAGCCAATTGGAGGCTTAAAGCAAAAACATTTAAATAATATTTTTTTTATTTTTTTTATTAATTTAAAAATAAATAAATTATTTTCAATTTATTGTATGAGAGAGAGACCGAAGAAGGACGTTCTAGTGTTACTGAAAAAAATATTTTAACTTTTGTTTTTGTTTTTTATCAGAAAGAGAGTTTAATTTTAACTTCTTTTTTTTAATGTTTTGTACTAATTTTACACACACACAAAGTAGAGGTAAATATAAGTTGATTTTTGAATATTTTTTATTTTTTTAAATTATGATTTTTAGATTTTTAATGTTATGAATTGAATCATGAATCCAAATTATTACAATAAAAAAGTTGATTGTACTTAATATTTTGGGACTTTTTTTTAGGGTTTAAAATTTAAAGGATTTAATTTTTTTATAAATTAGTAATGTACCTAAAATTTTGGGACTTTTTTTTAGGGTTTAAAATTTAAAGGATTTAATTTTTTTATAAATTAGTAATGTACCTAAAAATTTGGGACTTTTTTTTAGGGTTTAAAATTTAAAGGATTTAATTTTTTTATAAATTAGTAATGTACCTAAAAATTTGGGCCTAAAGCCCAAGTTTTTTTTTTAGTGCTATTGAACCGGCCCTGGTTACCTACCCTTGTTACTTGTGTGTTTATGCCTCAGGCTTGTCAATCTTATTGGATGGAGTGAGTTTTTGTTGATTTTAGCGAGATCGTGTCAAAAAATATTTTATTTTTATTCAATTCGTTTATTAATTTGTGTTTAACGAGTTGTATTATATCGAGTTTGTATTTTATATGAATTGTGTATAATCGATATATAAACGATTTATATTGTGTATTTTTGTGATTGACTTCATTCATACCTATTCGTTTATTAATCGTATCAAGTTTACTTATTTATAAAATGGGTGGTTTAAGGAAGACGTAAATTTTCTAATTCCACGTGTTAAGAAGTCGTGTCATATTTTGACCCTCCTAATGATCGGTGAAAATGATAAATAATAATAATAATAATAATAATAATAAACAAAGAAAGGTAAAAGGTACCTTTTCTACCAAACCCCCCACCAAACCGTAGTAGTTAGGTCCAAAAAAATCAAACTGATCTTCTAAGCTGGTGGGGCAGGCCTGCTCTGGCTTTGGTGAAAGCATAATTTCAAAATCTACAGCTTCGGTGGGCTATATAATTTGTGTCGGTAAATTAATCTGTGTGCTTTGTGACTCTTGAACAAGAGTCTAAAAAGATGAAGGAAAGAAAGAAGCTTTTGGTATTCATTTATGTTCTCATCTTTCTCTTCCAAATTGTGAATCCAACAAATTCAGAAAGACCATGGCCTCAGGCTAAGGCTAAGAGCAAGCACTTTGTGTTGGTTCATGGGGCATGCCATGGAGCCTGGTCTTGGTACAGGTTAGTGCCACTGCTAAGATCATTAGGACACACTGTCACAGCTTTTGACTTGGCTGCTTCTGGGATTGATCCAAGGCAGTTGAAAGATATTCCCTCTGTCTCCGACTACATCGGTCCTTTGTCGGACTTCATGGCTGCTCTTCCCCGGCATCAGAAAGTGGTACTTGTCGGTCACAGCCTTGGCGGCTGGGCGCTTTCTCGAGCCATGGAGAGGTTTCCAGAAAAAATTTCTGTTGCTGTTTTTATCTCTGCTTTAACGCCCGGTCCAACTCTCAATATTTCCACCCTTGAGCAAGAGGTATTGACAACTCTGACTTATATACATGACATGAACTTAACTATACAAATTTTAACACGACGCGACACGGCCCATTGACAACTCTAATAGTCACTGGTTGAAATTTCTTCTTCTTCTTGGACATTTTTCAGAGGATGAGAAGACAAGGTCCTCCGCTGGACATTCGTTACACATATGGTAATGGACCTAACAACCCTCCAACCGCCTTGCTATTCGGCCCCTTGTTCTCAGCAACAAATTTGTATCAGCTCAGCCCCATTGAGGTAAGCAGGACAAAACTGCTAAACAAATAAAGAGTCGCTCATAATTCTTGGTCAATGATCAAAATTTCGTTTCAAATGCATACTTTTGGTGAGCTTGAAAACCAGGGGCGGATCTACAGTGGGGGCAACTGCCCCCACTGCAATTTTAAAAACCTTTGAGATGTATTTAAAATTTTCAAACTTTTAGGATATTGCCCCCACTGAAACTTTTTAGAAAATTTAGGGGTATTTGTGTATATAAATTGTGGATAGTTCTTTGGTATTTTGTATATTGGTAGACATACAGGTTTAGTAGGGCCTATGTGTTGGCCACCAGTGATTTTGATAACTCTGTCCAACTATTGAATCCAACGCGTTAATTGAAACAAAGTCATCCTAGCCGTATATGACTTTCCTCTTGAATCAAACGTATCAAATGAAACCACAATTTGATTAACTCCCACCAAAATTGCATGGATGACAAGATTAAGGAATACGCCAAAAAAAGGGTTTGATTTGCGTCAAACTCGATCACCAAAAAGGGTTTGGTTTGGATCAAACTCGATCACTTTTCGTCAATGACTTCCATTTTTATATTTGGATAAATCTCTTTAACTATTCGGAGTGCTCACAAGTCATAATTTTATATGGCCAATATGTCACAAAATTAACGTAGAATTAAGAGAGTATTTAGCCTTAGTAAATTTAAATGATAAATGAGTTTGTTAGATCACCCAAACAAATAATTGAGTAGATAGTAAAAAAAATGAGAGTTTCTGAGATTTTATCAGAGTTTTTGTGAGAGATAATACATAAATGATTTCTTTGATTCTGTTAGTTTTTGTATTTTTTTTTTGCGTTGTAAATAGGATTTGTATTATTCATACATTTTTTTTTGCTAACAATAGACATTAGAGCTTTGATAATTTGGATTTTAACTGAAATATGATGACTAGATCCGATTGTGTGTCAATTTCTTTAGAATATTATGCACAATGATCAATCTCTTAGAAAAATGGATAATGAGGAGTACATAAAAAAATTTAATTTTGAGAGATGGGTGTATTTGGGTGGGCTTGATTGACAATTTTTTTTCTGATATTTTTACATTATTTTTTTTACGCAGTTATTTTTTGTGAAAAAATGAAATATTATTATTTCCTTGTTCTTGGTAAAAAATTTCATTGTAAGCAATATCTCAACCATCAATCTCCACAAGATGAACACGATTGCACTGTAACATCCTAATTTTCCGAAACGTTAATTAATAAAATCATGAATATTTTCATCCATTTGTCCATTTTAGAGCTCTAATCATGTTTGACATGATTGTCACAGGATTTGACACTTGCAACTACGTTGCTGAGACCGATACGTTTGTACAGTAATGAAGACCTGTCGAAGGAGCTAATGCTAACGAGCGAAAAATATGGTTTGGTTAACAGAGTTTTTATCATGGCTAGTGAAGATCAAGTGATAAAGATGGATTTCCAAAAATGGATGATTGAGAGGAACCCTCCCACTGAAGTTAGAAAGATAATCGGATCCGATCACATGGTCATGATGGGTAAACCAATCGAGTTATCGGTTCATCTCCAAGACATTGCTGAGAAGTATATTTGATTACTATATAATTGTCGTTTACACAAAATAAAGTCAAATTTTCTCAAATAAATTGTAATGTCAAAGTCTAGCATGGCATAAGAGGATGTTTAGGGTTTAAGTCGTGAAAACAGTTTCTCTTTACAGGAATAAGATTACGTACATCTAACCTTCTTCAAATCTCATAATGACAAAAGTCTCGTGTACTGGATATAGTCTTAAGAGAAAAAATGGCTAAAATAGGCTTTTCATGGTTTTTCCAAATTTGGTTCTTCATAATATCTATTCATTTGACTAATTTTTTTTTCGAGTTCTAAACCTTCGCAATGTTCACAAGAATTGAACAGTGCACACGATCCCTAGAAAGAAAGATTAACACGTACAAGTTTGCAGTCAAACTGAAATCACTCATGGATGAAATGTATAATAATTTTTGGGGTGGACCCTTTAATTATATATTCTAATTTTTTTCTTTCTCATCAGTTATAATAAAATAATCATTTATATTTATTATATCATATTTGATACATAAAATCTGTTTAAGCATAAAAGAGCAAAAAAAATGAATAATTACAACCACCTTAAAAAAGTAGGGTTAATTATTATTAAACCTGGTTTGACGGGTTGATCCGGTGAACCGAAACTTTCAGACACTAGTTACTCACTCTTAGTACATAGACATATCCTAGCTAGTCATATATTACTTTTTAAAATTTTGTCACATTATTCTATTCATATCATATTATATTCATATTTTAAACCTTTTTTCGGGCATATTTGAAATGATTTTATCTCGTCAATCATGAAAATCTTTCCACACCTTTAAAAACGTTGGTTGAACCAGATAGCACGCTAGATGAAATGGACCCAATACATAGAATTAATAATACATAGAATTTTCAACATTAACGTCATTGGCATTGCTCGGAAGACTAATATGTCTTCTTGTGTTTGGTGACTTTATTCTCTTCCACCTTTGCTTCAAACCAAATGTTGCCAGAAAAGTATACGCACATACTTAGACATATATATTAGGAAAATTTTCACTCACACCCCTACTAATTTATTATATCTTTAAAGATGTTTCTTTTAATATCTAAAATATCACTGACACCCTTTTTAATTTATATTTAAATACCCCTACCATTAACCACCATTTCTAACCCCAAAAAAAAAAAATCATCCAAAATACCAAAATTACCACTACATAAATACCAAATAATTTTTCTACATAAAATTCGAGTCAATTAAAATTTATTTTTCTATATATTAAAAGTTGAGTTGATTAAAATTTATTTTTTTATATATTAAAATTTGATTCGAGCTGATTAAATTTAATTAATTTTATGTATTAAAATTCGAGCCAATATGAGCTCTACCTAAATTGTTAGTTCCAATTAAAATTTGTTTCAAGTGAATTCACATTTATATTTTTTCTTATTAAAATTTGTGTCGATTAAAATTTTATTCAATTTGATTAAAATTTATTTTTTACATTTTAAATTTTTTGTTGATTAAAATTTATATTTTTTTATGTATCAAAATTATGATTGATTAAAATTCAATGGGAGTTGATTAAAATTTAATTCGAGCTGATTAAAAATGCTTATGTAGAAGGGTAATTTAATAAAATTGTATTATAATTAACACTTTTAATATAGAGGGTGTCGGTGAAAATTCAAAAAATAGAGAAGATATCTTTAAAGATATGATAAATTATAAATGATATGACTGAAATTTTTCCTAAGATATGATAAATGCTAATAAGTGATAACACATCCATCCTACCGTATATTTATACTCCCTCTGTTTCTAAATATCTGTCGTTTAAAGTTTTTTTGCACAGGGATCAAGGAAACTATTAAATAGCTCTAATATGAGTAAAAAATAATTACACAAAACTAAAATATATTTATTTAATACATATCGGGAAGAAAAGGAATATGAAAGACATTTAACCTCCACGTAATCTAATGCATTAAAAAATTAAGGGTAAATTTGAAAGAAAAAATATTAATTATGTTTTGATTTCATTAAACGATAGATATTTAAGAAATGAGGGAATAAATAAAACAAGACAAGATTCAATAAGTTCATTCACACATCTCAAATAGACTCATCTACCGGCTACTAATATCTCTCGTCAAAATCATTCACATTAAATTCTTCTCTTAAATTCATCACTTCTCACTTAGATTACATCGTACATTCAGACACGGGTTATCCATCCCTAGTACATAAACGAACCCTAGCTGGTCATGTATTACTTTTTAAATTCATATCATATCATACTTATATTTTATATTCATATTCATGCCCCATAAAACCTTTTTTTCAGGCATATTTCAAATGATTTTATCCCATCAATCACGAAAATCTTTCCACACCTTTAAATACGTTGGTTGAACCAAATAGTACGCTAGATGAAATAAACCCAATAAAGCTTAATAATACATAGAATTTTCAACATTAACATCGGTGTTTGGTAACTTTCTTCTCTTTCACTTTTGCTTCAAACCAACTGTTGAAAAGTAAACGCACATGCTTGACATATATATTATGAACAATTTCAGTCACACGTTGACTATATCTTCAAAGATATTTTTTTTATTATCTATAAGATATTTATTATCGTACTGATCTTCTAAGCTGGTGGGGCAGGCAAGAAAGCTTAATTTCAAAATCTACAGCTTCTGTAGGCTACATAAATTAGTGTTGGTAAATTAATCTGTGTACTTTATGAGTACTCTTGAACAAGAGACTAAAAAGATGAAGGAAAGAAAGAAGCTTTTGGTATTCATTTATGTTCTCATCTTTCTCTTCCAAGTTGTGAATCCAACAAATTCAGAAAGACCATGGCCTCAGGCTAAGGCTAAGAGCAAGCACTTTGTGTTGGTTCATGGGGCATGCCATGGAGCCTGGTCTTGGTACAGGGTAGTGCCACTGCTAAGATCATTAGGACACACTGTCACAGCTCTTGACTTGGCTGCTTCTGGGATTGATCCAAGGCAGTTGAATGATATTCCCTCTGTCTCCGACTACATCGGTCCTTTGTCGGACTTCATGGCTGCTCTTCCCCGGCATCAGAAAGTGGTACTTGTCGGTCACAGCCTTGGCGGCTGGGCACTTTCTCGAGCCATGGAGAGGTTTTCAGAGAAAATTTCTGTTGCTATTTTTGTCACTGCTGGAACACCTGGTCCAACTCTCAATATTTCCACCCTCGAGCAAGAGGTATTGACAACTCTGACTTATATACACAACATAAACTTGATTATACAAATTTTAACACGACACGACACGACCCATCGACAACTCTACCAGTCACTTGTTGAAATTTCTTCTTCTTCTTGGACATTTTTCAGTGGATCAAAAGATTCGGTCCTCAACTGGACAATCATTACACATATGGTGATGGACCTAACAAACCTCCAACCGCCTTGCTACTCGGACCCTTGTTCTTAGCAGCAAGATTGTATCAACTCAGCCCCATTGAGGTAAGAAGAACAAAACTGCCAAACAAATAAGGGTCGCTCATAATTCTTGGTCAATGATCAAAATTTCGTATCAGTGCATAGTTTTGATGAGCTTGAAAACAGAAATGTTTGGGTAATATTTGTTTCCAAAACATGTAGAATCAAAGGTTCAAACATGTAGAAACACCACAAAATCTACCGAAATGCCACGAAACAGAAATTTTAATATTCAATTAATGATTCGTTTCGGTTTCAATTGAAAAGAAAATGTTTCGGACGTTTTGAAACGAAATTTAGTTCCCCGCTATTGGTACAAAATTTCATTGTAAGTAATATATCAACCAGTAAAGTCTACAAGGTGAATACACTTGTGTTGTAATGCCCCAGTTTCCCGAAACGTCATTTGATTAAATCATGAATATTTTCACTCGATCGTTCATTTTAGAGCTCTAACCATGTTTGACACATTTGTCACAGGATTTGACACTTGCAACCACGTTGCTGAGACCGAGACGTTTGTATAGTGACAAAGACCTGTCAAAAGAGCTAATGTTAACGAACGAAAAATATGGTTCGGTTAACAGAGTTTTTATCATGGTTAGTGAAGATCAATTGTTAAAGATGGATTTCCAGCAATGGATGATTGACAGGAACCCTCCCACTGAAGTTAGAAAGATAACCGGATCCGATCACATGGTCATGATGTGTAAACCAATCGAGTTATCGGTTCATCTCCATGACATTGCTAAGAAGTATGTTTGATTATTATATATTCCTTAGTTTACACAAAATAAAGTCTATTTCGCAAATAAATTGTAATAACAAAGTTTTGTATGACATGAGAGGACGTTTACAAGACTTCATTCGAGGCATTGTACACGATCCACAGAAAGAAAGTTTAACAGTTACGAGTTTGCATTCAAACTTCCGTGGACACTTTAATGGCGTTCTTTCATTTTTTTTTCCATTCTAACCAATTACAATGGGTAAATTACATTGATACTCCTTGTAGATTGGTCTAATTACAGAGACACCCTATCGGTTTTCTAAAATGTCACTGGCACCCCCTTAGTTTACGTATGCATTTCACTTAGCACCCCTGTCGTTACAGACGTTACTGAAAGGTTAAAAAAAAGATCTGACACCATGTAATATTGTATATAGAATGCCCAATTTATCCCTGAAGCCTGAAAAGTATAGGCACATACTTGACTAATATATTAGGAAAATTTTCACTCACACCCTTACAAATTTACTATATCTTTAAAGATATTTCTTTTATTATCTAAAGAAATCATCGAAAATACCAAAATTATCACTATATAAATCCTAAATAATTTTTCTACATAAAATTCGATTAAAATTCAATCCAATTCAAATTCATTTTTCTATATATTAAAATTTGAACTGATTAAAATTTATTTTTTTACATATTAAAATGTGAACCGATTAAAATTCGATTCGAGCTGATTAAATTTAATTTTTTTTACGTATTAAAATTTGAGCCGATATGAGCTCTACCTAAGTTGTTAGTGCCAATTAAAATTTGTTTCAAGTCAATTCACATTTATATTTTTTTCTTTTTTAAAATTCGTATCCATTAAAATTTGATTCAAATTGATTAAAATTCATTTTTTACATATTAAATTTTTTGTCAATTAAAATTTATATTTTTTTTATGTATCAAAATTATGACCAATTAAAATTCAATAGGAGTTGATTAAAATTTAATTAGTTTGAATAGAATTTTAATCGATTCAGATTTTAATACCTAAAATAATATAATTTTTAATCGATTCGAATTTTAATACATAAAAAATAAATTTTTATTAACTCGAATATTGACCTGAATTATAATACGTAAAAAAAATTTTAAAAATAAATGTGGTCTCATTAAATATATACTTATCTTGAAGGGGTGTGAATAAAATTTTTTCTAAAATATATCATGGATAATTTAATAAAATTATATTATAGTTAACACTTTTAATATAAGGTGTGCCAGTGAAAATTTAAAAAATACAGAAGATATCCTTGAATATATGATAAATTATAAAGGATATGCCTGAAATTTTTCCAATATATTAGTATGTGCTGGAAACCTAAGGTTAGTAGATTAATATTCATACCTTTTCTTCCTTTTATCACTTAGGAGTCGAGTCGTTGGAGATGAATGCATGATTTTTAATGAGAGAAAGAACTGAGAATCATCTTTTTGTCTTTGACACGCCCACGCCCATGCCCACATCTACTTCCACTTCCACTTCCGCTACAGTTTTAGTTACACTTTATTTTAACAAAAAAAAAAATTAAAAAGGAGACGACCAACGTAGCAACTCTCCTAGATATGATCAAATGGGTTTTCACACATCGCAAAATATTCGATTCGAACTATAACTATTGACTTAAAAAATGTTTAACCAGTGATCAAAACCCTACCGAGGCACGATTGAAAATTCAATCCCTTTTAAATAGCATCTGATTTATGCAACTATTATCGCAAGACGGTTCTAACACAGCGATTGAGAATAAAGCGGGAGCTATTCCCTTCTGCTGAAGTCAACTCGAAGTCAAAACTTCAGGCTGGAGCCGTTCCGGGCCAAGCCCATTCCTTAAAGTCTCTAGGTTGGATGGGTATTATTCAGTGAGGTTCCGGCGTCACAGCCCAATCCGTGGCCTACAATTATTGAACAGGCCATGCCAATCCATAAATAAACTTTTTAAAAACTTTAAAAAAGTCAAAGTTATTCGACCCATTCTTTTCTTCCTTGAATGTCAAATGGGTAATTTCATTCTTTTTATTTCTCCATTTAAGGACAAGATCTCTTTAAGTTTTCAATAATAAAGTCATATTAACAGTTTGAAGTCAGTCCACATTTTTCAAAAAGAATAATAGCCATAAGTCGTTACTTGTCAATCTTGTCCACCCTGTTGCCAATTTTTTTATTTTTTTTATAATGATTAGGGGCTTATACATTTTTTAATTAATTTTTTTTTAATTCGTCAAAAATAGACTATTCACGTCAGAACTAGAATACTTATAAGGGCTAAATTTCTTATGACTTGAACCCAAAAAATTATCAAAATTTTAAATCAAAATATCTAAATTTACTGCTCTTCTATGCTATCACTTTAGCTATTTCTCATTTCATGTTGTCAATCTTCAACACATGCAAGACTTCATATACTAAGAGAGGGAGAATTCTATTATATTAAAAAAAAAATTAACATCATATCGTCATTATAAATGTTGTTAATTTATTTTATAACTTTTGAGAATTATTTTATAATTTTTGTGATAACTTGCGAGATCAATCATAAGTTATCACAAAAGTCATAACTTTGTCAAAAAAATTTTAATTCAAATCTTGAGCATCGTAACTTGACCTAGAAATTTATTTATTTTTTTCTTGTAAACAAATCATAAAACTTGTATTAAACCTTATAAAATTTGGAAGTTTGGTACCCAAAAAAAAATAAAAATCCATACCTACCATAATCTTTTCAAAGAGAGAGAAAGACCCCAGTTCCCAAAAATAAAAGACCCAAAAAAGATAGGATAAATTGCACTTTATCCCCTGCAATTACGAGTATAATTTCACTTTGTTCCTCTCTATTGATTTCAATACATTGGATCACCAACTATTCAAATTTAGTGACACTTGCACGGATCCTTATTTTTTTGTTGAAAATTCAATGATTTATGCAAAATATCATGCATTCGAATACTTAAGGGTACAATAAGTTCAAATTAATAGTTGAGACAATAAAGTAAAATTAGGATTATAGTTTAAGGAATAAAAGGAGTGAATGGCACTTTGTGCCCTAAGAAAATTGAAATTCTCAAATTACACACTCGATCAGATAAAAAAAAAGTAGAAATCTCGTTTAAACGTAAATATCTATGGTCTATTCTGACAAATTTTATTGTTGTATTTATCATATTATTCTATTTCTATACACAATTATTTGCATAATTCTTAATTTTAAGTGTTTTTAATGAAAACTTCATACTCAATTTGCTTAAAACGGAGAACATTACTACCTTTTTGTTCGATTGATGATGCAATATGACAATTTCAATCTTTTAGGATATAAATTGAAAATGCAAACATCTTTCAGAGTGTAAAATGTCATTTACCCAGATAAAAATATGATTAACCCGAACATAAATGATTGGGTTAATAACATTTTTAATTCTTAAAATATGTATTTTTTGTCAATTTAATCCTCATTTCTAATTTTATCAATTTGATCTTTAAAGGATTTGATCCACGTCACTTTGCTTCCGTCCAAAATTTGTCTCTTGGGACTTCCAAAAGCCAGCTATTTTTTTCAAAAGCCAGATCTAGCTACATAGGTGATTACTACATATAGATGGTCTTGATTGGACAGAGAAAGAGCCGAAGGCAAGACTACTACAGAAGAACCACATTACTATTGCAGCAATGGTGTTCCAGAGATTGGAGATGTGCATGGAAGTTCTGAAGTTGGTGATTGAGTTTGTCATCGTCCTCGTCGGAGCAGTTGTTACAGTGATCCACCAAAGCTCGACTTTGTCAATGGTGAATCCAGCTTATGCTGTTCCTGCCTTCTATTTTGGTGTTCTTCCATAATGCATCTTCTTTTCCATCTAAGAGAGCCCATTGTATAGCTTCTTCGACTTGAATTGTCTTTCTTTCTAGATTCATTGATGCCATGGTTATCAAAATCCCAATGTTTTGGTAGCTTCCAGTGTGTCATAAAGTTCAGCATTCTGTACTAAATGTTTGATTGAATGTCCTACCGAGCCCTCGTGGGACCACACCAAATTCACTATAAAACGCGTAAAATATATAAATTAAACAAAAGAACACACATTATTACATGTTAGAGATAAAAACAAGAATGACACAATTATGATAATACACTTTTAGCAAAAAAAAGTGTCAAGCATAGCCTAAATCAATGTTGTTAATCACTACTATTTTACAAGCAAATACTAGATTCAAGGATAGCATACCATGAGAAAGAAGAAAAGGGAAAAAACTTCTTTTATTTCATTCATAGTGAAGCTGGTCCTACATGGAGTATATACAATGTTTCCAGAGTCCAAGATGTATATACAAAGGACACAATCTAAAGGAAGCTAAAGCTACTGCACTTTATTGATATGCATATTTTGTACACAGACTCCATACATTTAACCAGATTTCCCTGATACCCTAAAATGAGAGATTTGAATGTTTTCAACTTCAAGCTTCCTGAAATTACCGCGTTTTCGGGCAGCATAAAACTTCCCCCAGTTATATGCCTTGTACTTGGCAGGATGTTGCTTGTCCGTCAGCTCCTCCAGGGGTTCCACCATAGTGTAGTGTGCTGGGTGGAGGAAGAATGGAATGGTAAACCTGTCCCTTTCAGAATTCACCACCGCCCTGTGCTCCACACTTTCATACTTTTCATTGCTCCAAACCTATATATAAATCGCTTGTAAGTGTATCATAATAATATTACACTTTCTCTGGACCTCAGACAGCTTAAATAAAAAGTTCTGCATTCAAATCTCATCGCAACCGTGTTAAAATTATAATACTATAAGTGATACAGCGAAAATCTGGTCCACAAATGTGAGCTTCTTGAAGTCTATAATATCAATTTTATACCCTTTCTATATTTAACAAGGAGCAAGGAGAATACCTTTGAACTTCTTAAATGGTACCTGAATAATGTCGCCAATATTGACTACATATGCATTAGGAGTAGGTTTGACGCGAAACCACTCTCCATCTGTCTTTCTCTTCACTTCAAGTCCGCCAACATCATCTTGAGCAACGATGGTCAAGGCACCCGAATCCTTGTGTCGACCAACACCGAGAACTAGGTCAGGGGTGGGGCAAGGCGAATAGTGATTGAGTCGAACATAGGTGGTTTGGTGTTTAAAGAAGCCATTCAACCGTTTCGCTTGCAAGCCTAAGCTCATAGAGATGAGTTCCAACAACTTGTAAGCTAGTTTTTGCACTTCTCCAGCATAGATTTCACATGCCTCCCTGGAAGTGGTAATATATTAGAACACAGCTCAACTTGCAAAATTGGTACCGAGTAAGTCACTGAGAGGTTGTTTGAAAACTCAATTCGGCCCTTAATATTAAAAACAAACGTTTGATAACTGAAAGGGACAGTAGTTTATTGATAATTAAACAAAATTCATTATAAGAACCAAATCAAAATTGGACAAAGAGTCCAAACAATGAACATCACTTAAAAATTTAAGAAACCCTGACAAATAGAATACACTATTAAATAACACAGTCTTTCTACTTATCAGTTTGTGTTGTAGACTACACAACCACGGCCACCACATTATTACCGCTACCTTCATAGCCACCTCACCCCCTCCCCCACCACCACTACCTTTGCACCACCATCACCCCCATACTCTACCATCATCGCCACCACCAATGGCGGTCATGGTAGTAGCTAGCAATGGTGGGATATAGATGCTGCCGACAATGGTTGTGGTGGAAGAGTTGGTGGCAATGATGAAGGCGATGATAAGGTGGTAATGGCGGGCGCCCGGGGGGGGGGGGGGGGAA